TTCATTTGTAATCTAGCTTTGACAGAAAGCAGTACAAAGTTAATATACATAATAGAACATACTATTTGAAGCTGGCAAAATCATTGTTAAAAAGAACTCCGTTATTGAGATTGCTAGTAAACACCTATTTAGCACAGTTTTAAATATCTTTTCATTTTTGATTTCCTGAGGGAGGTGGTTGAATAGTCCCCTCTCAATACAATGGATTACGTTTTCAAATTCACTGCGGTATTTCTTTCTGTGTGGTAGTCTTTTTTCCCTCAGAGAGGAGTACCGTAGTGAGTTGAGTTATAATTGTTGAGTAATAAATGATAGCACACATAGCGCTAAAAGTACCATTTAATATGATTGCAGGAACACGGCCCGGGAATGTTCTTGACCTGAGCATAGAAGTCCATGGAGTCATTTTTACCTGAAAGTACAGGTGAGTTGACAGGAAAGTAACAAAAGCTGGTCCAATTTGTCTCTGTTCAGACGCTATCAGAAGCTCCCTTTGGTGTGCATCAAAGTTCAGTTTTTAATAGTTTTTGTAGTGCCTTGGTTCTTCCCTGACAATTTCAATCCTCCCCCGTCAAAATCCAGGCTGGAATTGGTTTGAATTGGTGGGGCAGACTCCCCTTCCACTTGGTATGTGTAAATATTATGGAGCTGGCCCACTACAGCAGAGTTCTTTTCCTGTTACTTTAGCTAGTGCGCCTTACATAGACAACCCGCTCATAGTTCAAAAGACCACCCCTTAAAACTCAAGTTTCTGAGGACAGGGGTGATTTCTGACAGAACCAAAAGTAGTTTTGAGGTCCTCAGGTTCACCTCTATCGATTCGAGTATTTTTCCGTCGAAATCTGGACCCATCAATTAGCCTTTGTAAATTTGGCCAAAAATGAAAAATTCGAAAATTGCTGGAAATGGTTGGGATTGGTCCGACAGCATCCTCTTTCAATCTCTCTGTCGAAATTTCACGCTGCCGGGCCATTTTAAGTGAATTATGCCTGTTTTTCTTGGGCCCGCCTGCTAGGTAGGCAGCCCGTTGTACGCTGCCCGCCAGATTCAAAAGACCACCCTTTAAAACTCAAGTTACTGAGGACAGGGTGGTTTCTGACGGAATCAAAAGTAGTTTTGTGGTCCCCTGGTTCACCCCTATCGATTCGACTATTTTTCCGTCGAAATC